ATCAAGTATTTTATGCTTTCCCCCTCATGCAATTGGTTTCCTTATTGGTCATTCATCGGTACTAATTTTCCTATTTTTCTTGATTAACACAATATGTTTAAAACCACAATTACCACGCTCAGGCAAACTTGAGAATTGAAATCGTGGTCATCCGGCTTCTTCAAATGAACAGTGCTACGAAACCAAAGTGGTTGGCGGTACCAGTCAAAAAAAAAAGATGCGTTGTTGAAGGTTTGTTTTTCATTGACACATAATGTAAATATGTATCGGGAGAAAAAAATTTACAAGTACTGATGACTTAAGAGAAACAAAATAAAAGGGAAGAACCTAACATTAGTCACTACATTGAGGGCGGGGGGGGGGGGAATCCCCTCGAGGGAAACCAATTATGAGAATGTAAAGCTCGACTTTTAAAATAAAAAAGGTAAACAATGTTTTGCCTATCGTTTTGAAATAATTATGCAATAAACTTCAATCAAGCAAAAACAAAAATAGAGGAGGAATACGTATAGTATTATCCACTTTAAATAACCAAATAAATTATTAAAGAAAGATTAAGCCCCAACCCCAGAGAACAAACTCATAATAAAATAATTTGTCAATTGAGTACCTATAGGGAGAAAAACTTTCCAATATCATTTTGTATTTTTTTAATATTACCAAAAATATGTACTTTATGAAAATCACAACGAAGTTTAACAAACGTAATAGGCCATAATAGGATAATTGAATAATGTTCTCTCTTGGATAATGCAATGTTGTTGTTGTGGCAAACCAGTTAGCATGAACAAACTTGTTTTCACTCATATAGGTTGGGTTTCTGGTGGTAATAAATTGTGCCCGGATACACGACCTGGTGCCCAGCTGGACATGACCCTCGGGCAGGATTCCGAGCAGCCCCCACGCAAAAAAAAAAAAAAAAAAAAAAAAAAAAAAACATATGTTGTATAAAATTGCAATACAAACAACTTTTGGCTAAGAGTCACATCACAATTCCAAACTGAATCGGAGATTAAAAAACAAAAGTAAAATCACACTAAAAGACTCCCCTTTAACCCCTCTTAGCCCCTTTAAAAACAATTTATACCCCCCTTTCCCCCTTTGACAACGAGCCTGAATTTGGTTCCCTACAGAAAAACATTTTTATTTTTATTTTTTTTTCACGCCAGGGTACCAAGGGTGTTACACCCGGTTGCCTAGCCCTGTAGGCCCGATCGGGGATGAAAAACTTCCTAATTTATTACATATATTTTAATATATTTATTACATATATTGTACATTAGTTACATATATTATACATTAGATTATATATATATATCGTCACAAATAGAACTGCCCGGTAAACCGTAGGCAGAGAGAGAGAAGAGGACAACAAACGAAGGGCTGCGACAAACTGTTTCGTCGGAGTTCCACCGACTCATCAGGAGGCTGAACCCTCAACAGTCTCCAGAATCCCCTCACTGATTACACTGTAAATGATAATCTACCTTAACCAAAATCATATATATATATATATATATATTTCCAATTATGATATAGACTATTATAGAGTATTATAGACATACTATGATATACATATACATTTTCAATTATGTTAAATTTCATTAATTATATTACAAAAAAATTATATTTATGTATTTTTCTAGGCTACCAGAGTGGCCCGGGTCCACTTGCCCGCCTGGGCCAAAAAGAAATATAAAAATATAAAAATATAAAAATATAAAAATATAAAAATATAAATTACTTTTAAATTGTTATTTTTATTTTTATTTTAAATTTGGTAAAGAATTTCGATGTGACCCTGAAACAAAAGTTGCTCAGTTTATTTTTCGGATTTTTTGGGTTTTCCCTTTTTTTTTTTTTTTTGGTTGGACCTTAGTAGTCCTTGCATGACTGGGCCGCCTAGGAAAATAGGGTGACCCGAGCGGCACGAATGGTAGCCTAGGTATTTTTACCTTTTTTTATTAATGAAATTACTGATTTCGAATACATTATGATCTTTCAAATGAAGGAATAAGTCCGAATAACTGTAAACATTGTTCTTTCAAATGAATGACTATTATGTTTTTATTCTTCTAAATGTTTACAGTCACGATGTGCATAATAAATTAACTCATTTTTTAAAATCTCTATTTGAGTAAAGCCTTAAATATGGATTCCATTATTATTAAATTTGACTTTTCTAGATCTATATTTGCTTGCTTGAGCTTTTTTGTAGCATTTTTATATCATTGTTAAACATCGTGAATACAATTATTAGTTTTACAATCAGTTTTCAAAACTACTATAAGTTGAGCGACATTTATTAATCGTATAGTAAGGTGTCCTGAATCCAAAGTTCTTATTGTAGTATCTACAACACCTTTTCTTACACCATAACAAGATAAAATATATTATGTTAAAGAAAGTCCCTCTCTAAAATTACTTCAAATAGGTAAATCAATAATTTCTCCCCGAGGATCGAACATTATTCTACGCATTTCCACTTGTTGATGTACTTGAGAAGTTCCGCTGGCGGTGAAAAAAACATCGTATGTAATGGATTGAAAGGGTCTGTAATTCTGAAATTGGGATTAGAAAGAGGCGTAAAGCCGACGGATCTCCAAGAAACAAACAAACAAATGCGAAAGCAAAACCTTCGTTTGTCAGAACAAAAGTTTTATATCAGCTGATGATTTTGTTCTATTGCTCACTAGGGCCGTAGAAGGCACAAAGTGCTCATTGATACTAATATATTCAGAACTCGATATGGAGAAAAATATATTGTATGTCAAACACGGGTATAAAAAAAAAATATAGAGGAAGAAAAATAAAAGTCAAAGAGCATAAATACTACTGGTGGTAACACTTTCATACACTACTTTGCATTGTGTGTGGGCACTAACAATCAATTTGGTGTACACTATACAAACAATAATAACACCCATTGTAAACAAAGGATGCCAGCGTTTAAGAATCCAAATATCTGTCATCCTACTTTAATGTATCGTGTTTGAATTTTGTTGATAAATTCGATGTTGTCTCATTGCCTCAGACAATAGATTGATCTTTCTCAATACACAACCCAAGGTATAACCACCATTGCTGGTATGATCACACGAGTGGACCTTGGATTCTCCAAGGAACGTTTAGAACTATCACCCAACTTTGGCTCCCCATATCAAGTCCAAACCAAAAAGGAATAGAGAGTCATTATTAGAAACACTTCCCCATTGGTTGAAGATGTTGAACTGACAAATGTTTCGAAAACTAAAGAGCTTGTGGGGAAGAAAAGAGACAAATGAGGGGAAATAGCCAGCGAACATGAAACCTCAAGAGTTGAAAGACAACGACAACTATATCAGGAACTCTATACATTGGGAGCCCTCAATACTGCAAACATAGCCACTGACAATGGAAATATCGTGGAATGCCGGGAATGGCTATAGCAATCATAATACTCTTTTCTTCTTGCTCCACAAGTAAGAATCACACCTTTTCAATCAGGACGACTCTCCGAAATTAGAGAAGGAATCTATAACGCTGCAATGTCAAAATTGCACACTAACTAGACTACAACAAGTCAACCAAAGGGGTACAACAAAATGATCTTGGTAAACATGAGAAATAAGAGTTGAAGAACCTCACCTCGTACCTCTAACCCACGTTTTCGAAAACATATTGAGACCTCATGTGAACTAAGCCTATTTTTTGAGGGCATGGTACATGTTCCTTTTGAGAGCCTGCTACTTGTCCGTTATGTTTGGAGGCAATAGGCGTTGCCCAAACATTCCTGTCACGAATGTTCTTACATTCTATTGCTCGATCGAGTGAACTGCCTTTCGGACACTGTAATTAATACATGTACTCAAGTGCAAAAAAGTTGATCATGTGTGTAGGTATCTAATATCCTCTTCTCTCACATAGCTCGCAATGACAGAGCCACTGGTTCCGGCCATCATAAACCATCCATGGTTTGACCAGCCTTAAACCCCCAGTGGACGGCCCAACGATTGCAACCCCCCCTTCTGGTTAACACAGGTCAGCCGTAAGACTCCGTCGGGAAAAGGCTGGCAGCGCCAGACAAATAGTGGACAGCGAGGATTTGGATTTCTTAGGCCCGCGCAAAAGTCCGTGTAGGAAATTAGATGCTTGGTTCCACTGGGGGTTTAATTTCTATTTTCCAATTGACATAAAAGACAATTTGTACAAGCTAGATGTATTAGCTGTCGAGGAATTATGCTGTATGCTAAGCGATTGGAAATGGACAGTTGGTCGATTCCCTTGATGCCTACTGATACATATTTTAAACCACCAGTACATGGCCTCAGGCAACTGAAGAACCTGTTTTGATCCTCTCCGAAAATTTAGGAGGCCGAGCGCCATAGATAAAATGAATTGACGGTGGGCGGCCTCCGCAAGGGGCCCGCGGCCGATAGCTGACATGTACTGGTCCTTTGAGTGGCAAGACTGGAAATGGACAGTTGGCCGATTCCCTTGATCTCTATACTGCTGACCGAGCCCCACATCTTCACAAGTTCTGCAGCTGGTACTTGCAAGGATCCTCCAGCCTCTGAATGTCAGCTCCGACTTCACTATCACGAAGACGAGGACAGAACACATATCAAGTTACCAAGATTGGCTGGATGCCAAGGTGTTGAGATTGACTTGTGACTAGCCCAAGCAACTAGGAACAAGAGGACTGCCTGCAGCCACCAGTCATTCACTTCACTTTGCGAAGTTAGCTGCTGTGAATCTTATCTGCTCAGTCATATGCCACTAAAGAAGCGAGATACCCACCACCACACCCTGCACTCAACTTCCACATTTCCAGAAAGGGAAGGCCATGCAAATTACTGATGCATGGATGTTTGTCCTTAGAAACCTTGGAAGGGAAGGGGGCGGAGGGAGGGATTAGACACCCGATCTGCCCAGGAACTCGCAAGAGGCGAGAGCAACATCTGTTTCTTCGACTTTCTTGTGAAAGACACATTTTCAGTCAGGCAGATGTGCATGCGGCCACTTCGTAAGATGCCTCATTGAGAGCTGGTCTAACCATCCGCAGAGGTATCCATCCCCAGAAGCCTTTGCCAAACTCCCTCTGCTATCAAATCTCTATCTCTGTGAGCAAATCCTTTCTGCCCGCAGAACGTGTGGCTACGACTCCTCTTACGGATGGATGCCCGTCACTCGAGTCACTACTTGAGTACTGCCCATTCATGTTCATGGCAAGCTCGGTGCACACGGCCTCTCCTTTGCCTCGAATGTCTTCTTCCTCCGTGGCAGGGGTTCTCTGTTCTCGGATGGAAATCTCGTAGCCCAATGCTGCAAGTGCACTTTGCAGTACTGTTTTTTGGGGCACTGCAGCTGACCAGGTCGAGCGAGACATAGGTTCAAGCCCTTCCGCCACTGATGCAGAGGGCGCAACGCCCTTTGGCAGCATCACATCTTGAGTTTCAAGCAGCATGGCTTCCTTCCCGTGGGCATGCAGCTTACGATCAAAAGCCACTGCAATTTCCTCTGATGCCGAGCTGCTGCAGTCGGCTATAGTTGTGCTGCTCGGATGACTGGCCACACCACTGTGGTCTGCCATCTTCATTCCATGCCTTGTCGGTTCCATGCCGCTGCTTTGGACTTCATTTAACATCCTATCTACAGCAACTCCCTTGATATGCAATGTAGGTGTCGAAGCTTGTGGTAAGGTGATGGGTGAGGACGGATGAACAGCTGCAGGCCTGGGACCACCTGGAAGGTTCCCTGGTGGCCTCCTTTCTACTGTGGCTGGTTGAGGATTTGCTGGGGGACTTGATGGTTGTCTGGAGGGAAGAATCTGCCGCTTGCCAAAAGCTGCACTAATGCTTGGCGAGTGTCTAGGGTATGGGGCCACAGAACTTGGGGCTACCGCAGCGCGTGCTGTGCTACCAGTAGTCGATGGCGCGGGGGCGGTCGGAGCAGAGCTTGCAGAAGCAGACACCTTCGGATTTTGACGCCACCACGGTATCCTCTCTTCAGTGACACCACTCGCTGCACTTGAAGAGATATTGGGCACAGTGCTACAAGAGGCCTTTGAAAATTTTCTCATTATGTCATGGTTGCCTTCAGGACCGCTCTTGGATGCTGCTGACTCAGAGGATGCTGGTGTGCAGCTGCTGGACTGCAAATCTGATTTCTCCAGATTTGTTTCTCCACTACCCACAGTCACTGACTGTTCCCAAGGCTGAGGCAGAAATGACATAAATAACAACAGAAGTTTTTGGAGCATACACAGACAAAAGAACACACATGTCAGGGAATCTGGAACCTAAAAGCAAATAACGGACACATCATCCAATCTTTATTTATTTATTTTTATAGAAAAGCACCCTGGGAAGACCTGCGTTCCCACACTGGTAAGAGAACCATCGGGACCCAAATTTTCTTGTGGGTGGCTCCGATCCATTGGTGAGAAAATGATATAGTCATTTTTGATTTAAATTCAAAACGACCCTGGTAGTCCATGCCGTAAACGATGAGTGTTGGTCCTTGGTCTATGCCCGGTGGTTTTTGGGGGCGATTCGATGAGGGACCTAGCTAACACGTTAAACACTCCGCCTGGGGAGTACGGTCGCAAAGCTGAAACTCAAAGGAATTGACGGGGGCCTGCACAAGCGGTGGAGCATGTGGTTGCTCCATCTGCTGGAAAACGGGTCCAGCGTCCCTCTTACATAGGAGTACAAACTGACCCACTGGGAGGACATCATGCCATCTTAGATAAAGAGAAGTACTAAAAACTTTACAAGTTCAGATTGGCAGGGAGCAACATTAACATAATCTGTTAAACATTTCAATAAACCCATACTATTATTTGATTGCAATAGCTAGATGCCTGGAATTGTAAAATTCACAATTAGGATCCCTGGCCTATAAAACAACTGCTTGGTTTAGGGCTACAAATTCCCATAATACAGTGAAGTGCGAGGGTTTATGCCTCGGCATAGGGCCCTGCAGCAGGCACGCGCCCGCCCTAAGTGAAGGCGGCCCCCCTGAATCTCAAGGCACCCTGGGGCCGGGACCCACATGCGCCGTGCAGTTGTAGTTTCCGACAGTGTGCGACGGTGTGGGGGGCGGGAAAATCCAGAAACCTGAACTTGTCTGCGCCTGCTTGCTCCGTCCTCATCGTGTGTCAGCGGTCGTGGCATCCCGTGATTGGTGGACAACCTCAATTCGAATCATCTTCCGTTTTGTTTTTTGTGTCCTGCGATGGGAGCGGATGGGGTGGGCCTCCGCATGTCACTTGGTGTTCAGCATACGGTGCGTGACCGTGCGGACTGAGAGGGGCAGCGTTTTGGGTCCCATCTGGAGCTATTGCCGAGGAAACAGGTTGACCGCATGGGACGAGGAGGGGTTGTTCTAAAGTTTCAAGCTTTCCACAATCAGCCTCCACCACCCCCTTCAACCTGCCGGCCCCCCCACCTACCAGAGATGTTAGTGTCGTCACACGCCCAATGCAAATGTCACAATTGAAATGTTCCATCGACCTCGCGTTCGATCAGC